TGGACACAAATCCAGTCCCAAGCCAACCCAGGAAAATCCCAAACACACACGCATAGATTCTCACTTTCTGACAAAAACACTTCACAACTAGACCTTGGGACCTCCTGGACACACACTCACACTCACTCACTCCTCCGAGTCAGTGGACCAGCAAGGGGCCGAGGGGAGACGGAGGTCAGGGGAAGATTGGTGGTGTAGCTACGGGGCTTGCCAACCTATGCCTACGGAGGTGGAATCATTTTGCTGCACAGAATGGGATTCGGTGCTACCATTGTTGGGGAGATATATCATCAGGGGGAAAACCGCCGCAGAGAGTACATCACAAGGAGTGAAAACTTTGCAGCAATCACTAATCCTGGACAGCTTTCAGTCAAGTGACTAATATCACTTTATAATCGTCCGTGTTGTCTTGTTGTTTGCTTTTACAGAGTGACATAGAGTACCTGTCCCAGAGCCAGCTGCAGCTGTTGCTCACCGGTGTATCCCTCCGCACAGGGCGTAAACACACTATAGTACCGTGTATGAAACTTCTTCTAAAATGACTAAAAAGGACTCTCTTTTTTCGAATTAATGTTTAAATATGTTTATTTTAAATGTACGTGTAGAAATACCAGCTTCAGGGTTCTGTAACGTTTATTTGTTCACTTTTACGAGTAGGCTACTGACCCCCTATAGACTTCAATTGTATTCGCTAAGCTAAGCCGCAGTGCTAACCGCTGAGACCCAGCCACTGGACGTACAGACACAAAAAAGATATTGATCATGTTGTCTCAATATGAAAATGATAGAGAAAGGGCATAACTCCCAAATCGTCAGCGGATTCCTTTAACAGAGATAGCAAACTAGCTCAACGACATGGCCAAACACAAGTATGATGCTGAATGTATGGGAGGACAACTTGGGAACCAGTGGTGCCAGGTACACGTGCATTCAGGGTGTGTCCAACGCCATTTTTGTCTAGTTAAATGGGACGTAATCTGGGCATACAGTAAGGCTCATGAGGTAAAGGGCTTTTATTTAGTCTCTTAATTTATAAAAGGTGTCACAAAGACCTACTCACAGTCTGTCGGCTGGTGCAGTGGACCTTATCGCAGCAGTGTTTTGTTAAAATATTATGACTGCCAACTTCTAAAGCCATATGCAAAAAGAGTCTCACTCCCTTGGAAAAAGGCCAGTAAACCAAAGTTCATTAACTGGATGAACTCCTCTAATACGTGATTGTACTGGTACAGTATGCCCCATGTGAACTATATCTTTGAGTTTGATACAAGGTGCAAACAAAGAAAGCATGACATGAATATAACAATATGGGAACCCTCTTTAAAAAAGGAGAACTCTCCTTTTTTCCTTTTCTTTTATTATTTTTATTTTATTATGTATAATTTCATATCTTTTATTATTGATGTTTGCATTTAGTTATCTTTAAAATGTATGACATGTAAGGGAAGACTTCATTTTGCTGTCAGACAATAATCTCTGCACTTTAAATGTTCTTCTGGATGAGAACACAGTTGCTTACCTGTTCTTATAAAGTATTTGAACATTAATAAAGATATTGCGGGGAAAAAAGTTGAATGATTTGTTTCTTAAAATGCCTGTGGTTTCTGATACCGGATTCAATGTATTTGAATGTCAGTATTTTACTAATAGAAATGTAATTTGTTTCTCATGCTGCTGTATATTAGTAGCCATGTTTTTTGGTTGGATCACAGCAAAGTGTGTCCCTGACTGAGTGAATGGGTGAGTGATGAAGTTACACCATTGATCTGGTGAATGTTGGAGTTTCCCCATTGGCAAATGCCCATTCAAAATTAATCCGCGTGACAGTGTTGCTACTGGACACGTTTTGCCATGGCGGTCCACAAAGGAACTGACTGACAAACTGATCCACTTTTTATACATATTTGGTTGTTGGCCTTGTATGAGCACCGGCAAGCAACAGTTGCTCTTTGACTACAGACGCAGCCCCAGAATGCATTCATTATGATATCTGGGGACCTTAACCAGGTCAATCTGGCCGGACTGTGCTCACTTTCAAGCAGTATGTGTGCTGTCCAACCAGGGAAATAAGACACTGGACCTGCTGTATGCCAATGTTAAAGAGGCATACAGCCCTATAGCTCTAACCCATTCAGGGGATCAGAGCACAACATGATGTACCTTCTACTCCAGTATAAGCCTCTGGGCCAACAGCAGCCTCTGACTTGTGAGAAGGGCAAGGAAACGAGCATGTGCAGAAAGACCGGAATGAACTTAAAGAGGAATGAGTGTACACAAGTGTGAGAAATTCTTTCATTCAGAATCAGAAACGGAATATTTCAGCCCCTTACATCGAATTGAATTTTCAATCGCATTGGCCATTTTCATTCCGAATTAGGTGTTTACAAGATCACTTTTAATAGGAATGAACTTTCATTCCGAATGAAAAGGGAATTAAACTGTCCATGTAAACGCGCTCATTGTCAGAAACAAACAGTTGCAGTAGAGACACTACAAACTATTTCTCAGCTTTACAGACCAGGGGCCTCATTTATAAAAGAGTGCTTAGGATTCATACTAAAAGTTGACGTGCGCCCAAAAGCTGAAAATGTGCACCAAAAAGTAATCTGATTCATAAAACCGTGCGCACGCACACTTGCACAGGTTCTCTTTATAAATCACAGACCTCCTGGAGTTGTGCGCAACCAGATCTGCCTCATATTCTGCCCTCTACACGCCCTAGTTCAACCATAAATAGTCATGCAAATCACCTCATGAATGCGATCTGCATATAAATAAGCCGGCATGCGAGTGTTCTCTCGTTGTGAGTCACGGCGACAGGTGTGAGAAACAAACCAAAAAACGGAATTTCTCTGAGACTGAGCTAGAGACCCTTTAACGGGAGGTGGAGGACTAAAGAAAGATTTTATTTGGTGGCCACAGCACTAATAAAAGAAAGCAAAAAAGTGCCAACACATCAACGCTGCTGATGCTGTCAGCTGTGTCTGTGGGACTGCACGGACAGTGAGAAAAAGAAAAGTGGTCTGATCTAAAGGTAGACCAAATATTTCTACTCCTTTACCAACATGTAGTTAATGTGTTGCTTTTAAATTTGAGGTTGTTTGACACTGATGTGCAACATAAAGAATCACATTTATTAAAGGTGGAGGCAAAAAGGAGTATGTGCCAGTGCCAGCTTGCGCAATTTCGCACGAGGGTTACCGCTGTATTTATATGTTCATAGCAATTAGTCTAAGCGCAAAATAAGGCTACTGGATTTAATTTCAATGATAACGTGGATCTAAGGTGGATATAGCGTGACATTAAATTTGTGAGACATCAATAAAAATCTGACTCCATTTCTCCACCTCTCCACCTCACCGTCCGCATTGCCACTTCCCAGTGTCTCCAAAATGTGTGCATGCATGACTCAGAGTTTGCTTACAGGTGCGCACATTCTCCCGCCAAGTTTATTTTTATAAATCACAACCTTTGCGTGGGAAGTGGCATACGCGTAAGCAAGCTTTATAAATGAGGCCCCTGACCTTTAATTTAATCAACCAGGAAGCCTCTGGCATGCCTTGGAGCACTTCTCAAAAATTTCTCATCACCACCCACCTCCTGCATGTCATGACTGCTGCTGTTCACTGTGGTGGATCAGATAGAGACCCTTTCAAAATCAGGACAGGAGTCAAGCAGGGTTGTATCACTGCTCACATTTCAGTTACCATTTATCTGACTAGTACTAGAGCCGTGTTGTATCCATGAGAAGCTCCTATCAGGAGTTAACGTATTGCCTTGATTTTGCCCAATATAGTCTGGCATGGATGACAGTAGTTACAATGGATGTCAAAGATTTCTATCTGTCTGAAACAAACACAATATCTATATTTTAAATGTAAGTCTTGGATGTCAGCTTCTCCTCTCAACACAGCACAGATGTTTGACAATTCTCAAAGTGACACTGAGTTGGGCGCAGGAGTAAAGTTGGGAAAAAAAGTTTGTGCAACAAAAAGAGGTTAATTATAGCACCATCACAATTTTCCTTTAAGGCGAAGAAGCAACACTTGCACTTTTTTTATTTATTCTTTTGTCTACCTCCTATAACTTGTTGTTGGTTTCAGCTGGTGGTATTGTTATTATGTTCCTTTGTGTGTATGTGTGAGTGTGAGTGTATGTATCCCTTGGCCTTGTGTAATAATAAAAACAGACAGCAAAAACACTCCCACTTGTTTTTGTGTGCCAGATCAAACATGTTACTTACCTGCATTGTATACGTGCCGCATTGAGCAGTTTTTTGGAAGCGACCGTCTCTTTTGTGTCATGGTACTTATCAGAAAGACAGACCACTTCCTTTATTCCTGGTGTGACAAAGGGAGAGAGGGATTAAACAGAGGCACAAAAGGCAGACATACAAATAAAGACCATTCATAGTCTTCTTAGCAGAGACATGCTTCTCACCTAGGGAAGTGCATGATAGCAGAAGGCATGAAGAGAAGGAAAAGGTTAAAAGAAGAGATGGATTTGATTTCATTGCCGTTTTTGTCTCCTTAAAGCCCCTACAAGGAACTTTCATTTTGAGTTGATTTTGGCAACCCTGTGGACAAAAGCGGTAGTGTTTTGCCGGAATGAAGCCTACACTTCCCATGAGCTCTAGCGCGCATTGTCGTAAAGACGCTTACCTGGCTCGTGCATGTGTTTGTTTTGGGGATGAATGAAACAACAAGACGGGAAAACTTTGCCCCCGCTCCTATCGGGGATCCCAGCTCACCTCTGCCGCGCCCCAGCTCCACCTCTCCAGGGTAAGCGCCACCGCCGCCGGGGTAAACGCAGCGGTTGGCTGGTAAGGCTGAAGGCTTGTTTGGCGAGCACTTCCATGGCTTCTTGGACTGAGTATGGAGCGGTGCCTCACCTCTTTAGTTCTCGGCACTCGCTGGACCCTGTCGACGCCTGGCTGGTACCTGTCGTCGGCCCGGATGAGGTGTTCCAGCCCAGCGGCCCCTGCTCTCCTCGTCCCCGCTGGCGCGGGGTGAATCTGCGCAACCTGCGGCCTCTGTGTGTGGCTCCCCTGACAGCTAACGCCATGGACCCGCCAGCTCCTGCCAGGATTGGGCTGGTAAATGCTACATCTCTAGCGAACAAAATGTTTATCCTGAAGGATTTCCTGACTTCCCGAGGATTGGATTTTCTCTGTGTGACTGAGACATGGCTGACTGTTGGTGAGTCCAGTGCTTTCACAGAACTTTTACCCGATGATTGCTGCTATTTTAACTCCCCGCAGACGTCGGGTCGAGGAGGAGGAATAGCAACTATTTATAAGCGTCACTATAAATGTAAGCAGCAAGGTAAGGTGATGTGTGCCGTCTGAGTGCCGTAAATCATTTCGTCCTGGAAGCGACCTGGGGCGAACCCAGAGACAGTTTCCTAAAGGTATGGATATACATTATATAGAAATAGCTTATCTTCGCACTGATGGTCTCATTTGCTGTTGTAGGTCACGCACAGACATCAGCAGAAACTTTTGCATATCGTTAAAAGTTCTTTGTAGCGGCTTTAATACGGCAACATCCGACAGGCGGTCCATCCTGCCAATTGCTCGGCTCAAAGCAAGATATTTCAGTAAATGCTGGACAGTATTCATGTTCTATAGATGATGAATCTTTATAATTCTGGTGACCATCTTTAGGACGAACTTTATACTCTTTAACCTCTCTAACCAACGCATTTGTACTGTGAGGTGCTAGGCTTGGGTGGTATCGGGTATACCAGGGCATTTAGAAAATCCTGATGGTTTGAACGTTACAAGACTAGGGAAATGCTGGCCAGCAACAGCAGAGAGAAACAACAGGAAAAAACAGCAGTTGACCCTGCATATTTTTATATATAACTCACAGAATTAGTCTTTATTTTGTTTATTTGGTGATTGTTGGACCAATGAAAAGACTAAAGCAGGGGTGATGTGCGGCCCAGGTGAGCTGCCATGCAACAGCTACAGAAAGCTGTGGCGGCTGCTCCCGGCTGCAAGTGTTTGATTTTGCAATAAAGTCCGGCCATACTAAAAGTTTGGGATAGTTCAACTTTTAGCGGTGAATTGTGGCCTGAGAATAATCAGTAAATAGAGTGCTGTGACTTCTGTGACTTCTTCCCATCTGAAACACATGAACACACATCCCAGCCACAGAAAAATTTAATTATTGCAGCGAGCAGGACTTCACCGCCACCTCACTGTGACCATGATGGGTTTGAAGAGTTGCATTTTGTTGTTGTTAAGTTAAAATGATGTGTGTTTCACAATGATGAAGATATCTGAAATGACAGCAGCTAACACAGAAGTGGCCGATCACTCAGGAAAACACACACAGGAAGAGGAAGAAAAATAGAGCTGAAGAGGCAAGTGACCACTGGAAATGATGGAAAACAGAGGGGACAGAGAGAAAGAAAAAACAAATCTGTTTGGGTAGCAAAATCTATATTTGGGAAAGAGTGATATTATCCAAGTCATTTCGTAATGGAGGTGGTTTGACTGGAAAATTTCCTATTTTTAGAGACTGAATATTGAAACAAAGTACAGGCACAGTTAGCAACAACTTTAAGAAGTTAACATATAAAAAATAATAAAATAAAATATCATAATAGGCCTTCAAAGATGAGTTTCAGTCTATAGTTACAACTGACTAGAGCATAAGAGTGTGTGTGTGTGTGTGTGTGAGTGTGCGCACGCCTGCTGTCAACACTCACCAGCCTGGATGATGAGCTTGGCACACTCATTGCAGGGGAACAAAGTCACATAAATGGTGCAGCCTCTCAGGTCAGCGCTGTTCTTGTTCATGATGGCATTCAGCTCTGCGTGGCACACTGTGAGACAGAGCATTGAGATGGTACAAGTATGCCAAGTACAAGATGTTGCGAGTTTTCTTCTTTTAAGTTTAATTAGGACTAGTCCATACCCATTGAGGGCACAGTTGCCCATGTACAGTTTTTGTGTGTTTGGGATACAGATCATAGGAAATTGCAGATTAAATAGTCAAGTGAACCCATTAAGGAGAGCAATGTATTCAGACTGAGTTTTTGTGAATTTGATAGTGCGATTGCTTTATTGAAAGTACAGTAGATTGACCACATCAGTGAGTAGAAAAACGTGGGACAGACAGAATGACTGACTGACAGAATGACACACTGACAGTTTCCGTGATTATGTGCAGCATACCATACCATGACTTAATCATACCAAAAAATAGAGTTAAATTTCTCCAGTCACCTTGAGGCATCCTGTTCTACATATCTACCAAGTTTAGTAAAAATCAATATGGCAGTTAGGCCTAGATAAGAAATTAGCTCTCTAGCGCCCCCATTTTGTTTGATGGGGTCAATAATGGAGGGGTCCCCTCAGATTATGTGTGGTCATATGCCTACAAAGTTGCGTGGTGATCGGTGAAACCCTTGAGATGTTATACACCTTTATGTGATGAGCCACGCCCTCCGCAATATTCATTGCCTTATAGAAGCTCAGTTTTAGTAAGTTTTCCAACTTT